TGGAACTAACTGGATCAGTAGTAACTGTCGGTTCGGGGGAGACTAACTAGACTAGAAGGCTAATTAGACTTGAATAGAGACCGGCAGCGCGCGGCGCAGTGAAATTAACCGGCGGCGGACTAGTTCAGCGGCTTAAATACCGGCGAACGAGTAATAATCTATAGTCCGTAATGCGCGTGCGTGTGCCTGTCTGTGTGTCTGTTTATTATCCACCGATTGCAGTCTGGTTCATAAACCAGTCCGGCGGAGCAGGTAGTCGTCGATCTTTCCGCTTTTCCGCAAACACTCGCGCGCGCGCATCTGCCGAGAGGGGTCTCTCGTTCCTCCTTTTTTTCTCTTTTTTTTTCTTCGCCTTTCTCACGCCGCGGTTCTAACGGAAGATGCTGAATCAGGCTCCGAATCGACGGGAAGGAAGAAGGCTGGCGGCAGGGAGGGGGGGGGAAGCGGAGGAGAGTGAAAAGTCGCCGCTCGAAGTCGAGCCGGCCGGCCGAAGCGATGAATTTCACTGTTGCGACCAGCAGCGCAATTGCAACATTGTTACGTCACAGTGTGTACGCGTGTGACGGTTATGTGCCTTTCCTCCCGCCCCTCGGCCCCTCGCAGGCGAAGGAATGCGCGTGCGTGCGTGCCACGACGCGACATTTGAATCGCGAACTCTCGCCGAACGAAAGCGCGCGGCTTCGTCTCGCTTCTTTGAAAACTATCGCTGATGCGCGATAATGCGCTCTCGCGGTGGCGTCTCCCGCACGTGCTGCGACCCGAGTGTTGTACATTATTATGCAAACGTGAGCGCTTCCCCCTCCCCCTCTTTCCCACTCTCTCTTTTTCATTCGCGAGATATCGACGAGACGCGCGCACGCGCGCGCGCGCGCATGTCTTGCCTTCTTGCCAAGAAATTCTTTTCGATGGATTCGAGATCGATTTATTTGTTGCTTCCCGAGGCGATTGCTCTTCGTCTTGGTCGTATATTTTTTCATAAATTTTCGTTGCATGTAGTGCACATACAGTAGTTGGTGCAACATAATCATACATATACACGCGCGCGCGCGCGCGCGCATACACACGTACACACACACACACACACACACACACACACACACACACACACACACACACACACACAGCAAAGTTTCGTCCCCAAGTCGATACGATATCACATCTCTCCGTTATCGTTCGTATATTAGTTTAGACGCAGATAAAACTAGTCGCTTCAATTAATTACGCGCGACGCTTCTCGATAATTTGAGGATATCGAGGAACGTCGTGTTTGCTGACACCGATTACGGAGCCGGATTCAAAGTGAAGGTTGATAAGGCTGTAGCAGAGGCCAAATAAAGTTAAAGCGGGTGTTGAGGCATAAATTATCAAAGTTGAAGCGAGAGAGAGAGAGAGAGAAAGAGAGAGAAAGAGAGAGAGTGAGTGAGCGAGTGAGTTTCTGAATTAAAGCTAAAGCTAAAATTAATAAAACTACAGTCAAAGTTGCACGAACACCAGAGCTGTGATAAAGCTAAAACCCGAAGCGCCAAAGTTCGCAAACTAGAGACCGATATAGAGTTAAAAAGCCAATGAAGTTAAGGCCAAAGACGCGAAGGTTAAAATGCCAAAGTTAGAACTTCGATGTGAAACTATAAAGTTGACGGGAGAAAGAGAGAGAGAGAGAGAGAGAGAGAGAGAGAGAGAGAGAGAGAGAGAGAGAGAGAGAGAGAGAGAGAGAGAGAGAGAGAGAGAGAGAGAGAGAGAGAGAGAGAGAGAGAGAGAGAGAGAGAGAGAGAGAGAGAACCCGAAGTCTTAGCCCTTGTATGTCCGTCTTCTCTCGCTCGTTCGCTCCAAAGAGAGATCTTTATCAAAGAGTGTGTGTGTGTGTGTGTATGTGTGTGCGCGCGCGCGCTCCTTTATATGCATGCATGTGTGCGCGCGTCTCTGTGCCCGTCGTGCGGCAATTGCGGCGGCAGCGTGTCCGTTGTTCCAGCGAGGGCGCCACGTGACATGGCTCTCCTCGCTTTCTTCAATCCATTCAACAAGACTGACCGAGTGTGTCGCGTTCGGCGTCACGGATGCCTTTACGCTGGGAGTTACGCACGTTTCGGGACGCGCCACACCATCCGCTTATCGCACGTCCCAAATTACGTGCGTAACTCGATGCGCGTCACGCTATTCAACCGTGCACATATATAACTACGTACGATGTGTGTGTGTCCCTCTCTCACTCACTCACTCATTCTCTCACTCACTCACTCTCTTACTCACTCTCTCTCTCACTCACTCACTCACTCACTCACTCATTGACACAAAGTTTGGGAATAATGTTAGGTTACGCTCTGATTCGGCTTTATTCGATCTCATTCGCGGCGATTGACGCGCGATACCTGCCTCTCCACTCGCGATTCTTTTAACCCGCAATCGCTCTCGCTCGCGTAGCCTTGAGCTTCACAAATTGCAGCGCAGCTCCCTCTGGCATGACGACGAAATTTTGGGAATTTTCGGGCAAGCATCGTATCACATCCAGCACGCCGACGAGTTTCCAAGCGTGTGAACCATTTTTTGGAACGTATTTCGAAACGCATCCGATAATCCAACGAGAAGATTTGTTTCCGGGTGATTCACGGACGTGAAGTTCTTTCTTATCGAGTATTCGCTGCGTTTCGAACCGCATCCGAAAAAGTGGCCGTTTTGAAATTCCATGTACATCGTGATTAATAATAATTGATTAACGATCAACACGATATGGATATAAATGGATATTTAGATGCGAAAATAAAAATGACCGAAAATAAAAAGTGTCACTATATGGAGGAGTGGGGGGGGGGATCTTATTTATGCAACTCGCACGCGCGGTTTACATCCGACGGCAGGAACGTTGTGACATTCTCACCTCGATGAATTTCCGAGCGCGTTCGGTGACTAAATAAAAGTCGCGTTTTCTTTCTCAATAACGATGCAAATTTCTTGGCGCGTTTTGAAACTCATCAGGAGTAGATGCACAGGCTCTCATGGCCTTTCTTCCACCGAGTGTACAGACCTCGCGTGCAGAAATGTAATTCGCGGGCGACATTCGCATTACATAAATACGTCCGTCGCACGGTGTTCAGTCATCCTCGGCAATGTAATCGTCAACGCGACCGGCGATAATCCATCGGTGTTCCGATATATAACATGACTCATGCGCGCTGCACTCTGCACGCCGAGAAAGAAGAGTCGAGAAAGTGTAGTGCGCGGAGTGCGCGGATAGGACGATGAGAATGACCGAAGGGCAGCCGGGGAGAGCAGCGGGCGACGGAGTGATTGGTTTCCAATCGCCGCCGAAAACGGGTCGGAAACGTCGCGCGTTGGCTCGCGCGCTCCCGCGAGCGAGCGAGCGAAAGAGCGAACGAGCGAGAGAGAGGGAGCGATGTCCACGAGAGCGAAGCGAGAGAGAAAGAGAGAATGACGCTCGCTATTAACGCTGCCGAAAACGTTAGCCCCAGCGCAGTAAAGCGAGCGAGCGAGCGAGCGAGCGAGTGCGCGAGCGAATAAGAACGAGAAAGAGAAAGAGCAGCGCGAGAGCGAGCTCTCGTCTCGTCTCGTCTCTCGGCGCAGCGATCGCCGCGTATATCTAGAAACTACGTGAGCGCCTCCTCTTCTCTCCACGTCGCGTGCGTATGTGCGTGCGCGTGTATGTACGTGCGTGTTATACCTCTCTTGGCGTTTCCCGGCGTTTTTCGCGCTCTCCATCGCGTCCGTGCCCCCCACCCTCGCGTCGCGAGTCTTCCGCGCGTCGTCGTAGCAGCGTTGTCGTTGTCATCGTTGTCGTGTTCTTTGGTTTTCCCGTAGCCGCTAAAGCTAAGGCGGCCAACGCACCGAGCGAGAGCGCGGCCGGATTCCGCGTTCGTGGTAGACGCGTGCACTGCGCAGGTTAAGCCGGCGCGTTTCAAGGTAACCTCCAAAAAGAAGCGCGGTCCGAGAGAGAGAGAGAGAGAGAGAGAGAGAGAGAGAAAGAGAGAGAAAGAGAGAGAGAGCGAGCGCGAGAGAGCGAGGCGAAGTGGCGTTCCGCCGAGTTGTGACGCTTCTTTTCTTCGTGTCACTTGTCGACGGATACGTGTACTCGTACATCCGGATACCGAAAGAAAGAGAGAGAAGAGAGAGAGAGAGAGAGAGAGAGAGAATGAGAGAGAAAACGTAACGACGAAGCTCGCTCACGCTCGTGCGCGGATATAGGTTAAGGCGAAGAGCGTCATCTCGAACGCGACGCCACCGTGCGCGCGGCAGAGAGAGAGAGAGAGAGAGAGAGAGAGAAAGAGAGAGATAGAAAGAAAGAAAGGGAAAGAGAATGAAACAGCGTCCTGCCGTCAGCCGCGAAGAGAACGAACGCCATCCATGACGAACCACGACAGGTCTGTTTTCCCCATGGCAGCTGCGTCCTCTACTATGGATTCTGCTCCTGCCCGCGTTTCTCCCAATCATGCGGCCGGCTATTGTATTCGGTTTGATTTCGGGTGCAGAAGGTGCAGATGCAGCGGGAGCAGACCTTGGATCGCACGCGCGTCGTCGTCGTCGTCGTCGATGGCACCACGATGCGATGTGTGTTTTTATCAGGAATACTCGGCGAGAGCGTTTCGATCCTCTCGCGCGAGTTGCCTCTTTATCTCTCGACTGTGCACGTATGTGTGTGTGTGTTGTGTGTGTGTGTGTGTATGTGAGAAAAAAGTGCGAGTCGTGCAAACGGCGGCGACAATCGTTTACTCACCGTGTCGCCGCTGCACTCTAGCTCGTTTGCGTTGCCTTTGTGTAAATGAGAGTTACCAGGTGCGTCGCCGCGTGATAGAGCTTTTGTATGTATATGTATGTGTGATGTGTATGTGCGTGCGACTGTTGGCTGTGTGCGTTTTGAAATTTTTTCATACATTACCCGTGATATCTCTTTTTATCTGGCTGTACTATTTGATAGATATTATATGTATATATGTATGTATGGATGTCGTGCTGTCAAGCTGCTTGGATTAACGTTGACCTTTGTCTTCCAGGAGACGGTGTCCACTGAGCCGTGATGCGTTGGAGATTCGGCGGTCCCTGCCCAAAGACCGACCAGCAGCCAGTGTTACAGAAGCAATTTGTGTGACAAAGCATAAAAGGGAAGCGAGTGCGGAATCGTCGTTGTTGTTGTATTTGGACTGTAACACGCGTGCCGCTTGCGAGTATCTCTTGCATTACCGCAGCGAGTGCCGTTGTACTCGTCCTGAGACTCGTGTCGCTTGCCGCCTCTGCTGCGGGACGCGAGGACGAGGTGGTGGAGCAGCAGCAGCAGCAGCAGAAGAAAAAGAAGAGAAAGAGGAAGAAGCAGAAGCAACAGCAACGTGCCGAAGGAGTGACACTGGGGTTGGTTAGTGACACTGAGAGCGCAAGTGAAAACTATAAAAATAGGGGGGGCTGTCTGACCGATGGACAAACGGAAGATGATGTCCAAACGCCCTCGTATGGAGAACCTGAGGGGTCCGATCCAGAACGGACCAATTCAGACGCGACCGTTAGTGGCGTTGCTCGATGGACGGGACTGCTCGATTGAGATGCCCATTCTGAAGGATGTTGCGACGGTGGCATTCTGCGACGCTCAATCCACCTCAGAGATTCACGAAAAGGTATCATTTGTTCCTTCCACATTGTTTCATTGTACCCTGGAAAATGTAGTGATCCTGCGCTGCAAGTTCATCATGCAGTTTTCTCAAGCACATGGTCAGGAATATGTATCTCGGAAGCAGAGTATGCCTCAAAGATAGCGACTGTTCTCAAACTTGGGAAGACTACATCCTTCTCTTGAAGCATTTCTCATACGCAGCTTGAGATACATATTTTGAAGTATCTTTGTGAGGGGAATGTCATGAGTTTTAATGTATTTGTGTTGCTCTTACTCTTGGAAGCTGTGTTAAAATAAGATAACTGGGTTTATGTTTGAATTCAACATAATTTTGTTCTTGGTTTTATCTCACCTCCTATATTTCACATGCATCTCATGTTCCTCTTCAACGTTCAATCCATGTGACTGTCAAAGCAAATTGTTGTCATCGTGATGTTTTCTTCTCTCATGAACAAAATGAACAAGTACACTGCAGAGCATTGATATAATTCGGTTTTCTCGTAGGTACTAAACGAGGCGGTAGGTGCGTTAATGTGGCACACCATCATTTTGACGAAGGAGGACCTGGAGAAGTTCAAGACGTTACGGATCATCGTAAGAATCGGCTCAGGAGTCGATAATATCGATGTCAAAGCAGCGGGCGAGCTTGGCATCGCTGTGTGCAATGTGCCTGGCTATGGTGTCGAAGAAGTAGCTGACACCACCCTCTGCCTCATTCTAAATCTCTATCGGCGCACGTACTGGCTGGCAAACATGGTGCGCGAGGGCAAGAAATTCACAGGACCAGAACAAGTATGGATCTTAGAGTTTATCTATGTAGTCACGTAAAAAGTCGTGTATGTGTTTATACACGGAACATACATTCGATCTTAATCAAGAAAGGATGTACATAAACACGGGGGGAAAACCTAAAAACTCATTCGTGAGCAATAAATGAATCGACCGATCACAGTCGAGCATATTTAAACACAATATTCTTATATGATATCAATAATTTTTGAATACAAACTGTCAAATTATTTACCGCTCCAGTTTTAGTTTACGTTTGTCTGTTTACATTTTCTTTTACGCGCCATTTGCCTAAAATTCCCATGTTTTTCCAAAAGTGATCCGGCTCAGTGCCGGAAAAATGTTGCTTAATTAAATTAGCAACTTCTAACGTAGTAATTAGTAGAGACTACATTGTGCTGACGCTGCATTTAATGTTATTAGAGTTACGTGAAATTTACGTGAAAGTTTGTGTGTAATCCACTGATTAAATCCGTTTGCTACATTTCTTCGGTAAAATCAAATTAGAGTTAAGTTAGAGGCAAATTGGACTTATATGTATTAACCTTCCCGTGCTTTTCAGGTAAGAGAAGCGGCAACCGGATGTGCAAGGATACGGGGCGATACTCTGGGTATAGTTGGATTAGGCAGGATCGGATCAGCGGTAGCGTTGCGTGCCAAAGCTTTTGGCTTCACCGTCATTTTTTATGATCCCTACTTGCCGGACGGAATCGAGAAGTCGCTAGGTCTCACCAGGGTTTACACGCTACAGGTTCGTATCTCGCCAGTTTCTTGCAATGTGACTTTGTCTAAAGTGCTGAAACAACAAGTGGTTAGTGTATACGTTGTAAACTCACTGGAAATTATCTCAGAATTTACGTTGAAAGATTGCTGCTCCCGTGGTATTGGATCTTTTTAATTTACTTAAAGCGATTCGTGACCTGCTTGTAGTAATTTCGGCACTTCCACTTGGTCCATTATCTTATCGATTCTGTATTGCGAAGTCGGGAGATCTCGGTTGTGACTCGTTACGAAATCAATCATTATTAACCTTTCAGTAACGTAATAAATAAGTATGATCACGAGGAAAGTAGAAGAGAAAATAGCAAATAATAAAAAAATAAAAGATGATAAAAATAGCAATAGGCGACGAAAAAAAAAATATATATATATATATATAAACGAAGAAATAGATAATATAAACATGATCGTCGAATGAAATGTTATTTGATTGATTTTTCGATTGACTAGAGGTTTCTCGATTATGTTTCAGGATTTGCTATTCCAATCAGACTGTGTATCTCTACACTGTACCTTGAATGAACACAATCATCATCTAATAAACGAATTCACTATCAAACAGGTATGTGTCAGGGCAATCATGATGGAACGAATTTTAGAAAACAATTTCGTTGTTTACACGAGACGATTGAACGGTTCAACGAGAATAACGATCTTGATACGCATCTTACCACGTGTTGTAGATGAGACCAGGAGCATTTTTAGTCAATACAGCGCGAGGTGGTCTAGTGGACGATGACGCGCTAGCCGGGGCGCTCAAACAGGGTAGAATCCGCGCTGCGGCATTAGACGTCCACGAAAACGAGCCGTACAACGTCTTTCAGGGTCAGTCCGCGCAATGTGAGTCTTATCTGTCCATGCCTAACCCCCCTCGTCTTTCATTCGAATAATGTTTCCCTTTACCTTTCCCAAGCCTCATCCTGTCCTCGACCCGTGATATAGGTAGGTAAAAATGTTACGCATTCCTCGATGCTTTCCTTGATATGGCTTGAGAAAACCGGCAAACAAAAGAACGCCAGAGACATGTGTTGTATCGTGTCAGGTGAGCAAAAAAGAAATACGAAATTTATTTTCTTTACATTATGTATTTTTTATTTATTTTGCTTAAAATAAGACCATATATGTGCGCAAATTTATATTTTTATATAAAATTTTAATACTTGAGTATAAAACAATATTAATATATATATATATACACACATATATATACATATATATTGTAATATATTAATATTATATAATACTTAATTTTCTTATAAAAGTTTTGTGCAAAATGTGCAAAAGAGAAATTTGAAATTTATATGTTGTCCACACACAAATTATCAAGTTTTTTTTTTTATTCAAGTTCGTTTTTTTATCGTTCTTAAAGCAAAATTATGTTTGTAAAAATTAATATCTGCATATCAAGTTTTAATGAGTACTAAATAAGAGATATATTAATATATATAAATTATAATACTTGCGTTCATATCAATTATAATACTTTAGAAGGGTTTTTGATGACAATATGAACAAGGAAAAAGTAGAAAATTTATGTTGTTTTGATTATATATATTTTTTCTTTAAATTTGTATTGCTCAAAGTGTATGTGTAAAATTGTGTAAAGTATGTATCTCGATATAAAGTTTCTCAATACTTGAATGTTAAATATGTAGTAGTATATAAATATATTATTTTAATACGTAGAGAGAAACATATATATATATATATATATATATATATAAATTATAACATTTGCTTTAATCTCCATACAAGTAAATGTAAATAGTCTTAATGGCGAATTTGCAATCAGACTCGATACAACGCACGTCGGAGGTTATTGTCCTTACATGTCCATCCGTTTATCAGTTTATCTGTCGATCGTCCGCGATACTTACAATGTTGTAACGTGTAAAACGCAGGTCCATTGAAAGATGCGCCCAATCTTCTTTGCACACCACATGCCGCATTCTACAGTGATGCCAGCTGCACTGAATTACGTGAAATGGCGGCCAGTGAGATCCGACGAGCAATAGTCGGTCGCATTCCCGATTGCCTGCGGAACTGCGTGAACAAGGAGTACTTCCTGTCTTCGACCGGGTAAGGGTAAACGCCTTTTTGCATCCCCTTCCCAACCCCAGTCTAAATTCAAGAGAAAAATTATAGAAAAAGATGTAAAGTTCAAAGTCTTCGTCTTCGTTTGAGAAGAAGAAATGTGCCGAAGACGTAGACGGTTGTAATTTCTTTTGTCGTTTCGTGCATATATGTTTGTGTGTGTGTATATATATATACACATGTATATGCAAGAAACAGCTTGTATACAAGGTGCCCCATAATACCGGCGGTACACTGTATACGCAATTGCGTCGACGCAATTGCATCTTGCTCTCTCTTTTTGACACACCATATATAATACATTCCTCTCTCTCTTTTAACATTTCTCACTGCACCGCGAAATAGATATCGTAATTTTTGCAGAAACGGATTTTCAAGCAGATGTTAGCCTTCCGTTGTTATCTGCGATTGCGCGGAAATGGAATCACTCTCTCTCGAGCCCGAATAGCCCGAGCGCGAGAATGTGTGTAGCGAAACATAAAAAAACAGTAATAAAACGAAAAAACGCACGATCGAACGGACGGTAAAACGAAAACGCGGTAGACGAGACAATTTGCTACGGTGTGCGAAGCGAAACAGACGAATTCTCTTAAAGAGAAAGTCTACCTGTGTGTTCCTCCTTCCTGTTCGCGCGTCGCAAGGACCACTACTGCTCCTAGAGCCAATCGATCACAAAACACTCGAATTGGGAAGCTACACACTTCGCCAAACAAAGTATAAACAAAAACAAACAAAAAAAACCGAAAAACCAAACAGCGGCGCGCTGTGCACGCGCTGTGTGTGTGTGTGTAGAACCAAAAAAAAGTAAAAAAAACGCACAAAACTGCACAAATTTGTCGAGGGACTACCATGATTGTGTTTTCGCTTTCTCCAGCAGCTACCCCGAGGGGATCAACGGCGGATACTATGCTGGCGCACTACCCGTGCAACAGGCGCACTCAACGACTCCTCACGATTCAGCGCCCCCACCACCCGGCGGGCATTCCGTCGTCGGCGGCGGAGGCGGCGGCGGCGGGGCCGGTGGCGGCGGGCCCAACTCGTCGGCGGGCGGTGCCGGCGGCGGCGCTGGCGGGCCGCAGGGCCCCGCGGGTCCAACGGTAGGCGGCGGCGGTGGGGCCGGCGGCGGTCCCGCGGCAGCGCCCCCCACCGCCGGCCTGACCGGATTACCACACAGCATAGTGAGCGAGCCCGACCCCCGACCGAGCCCGCCCGCCCCGAGTCCCCGTTGACCTTGAACCCCTTAAATGAGAGAAAGAAAGAAAGCGAGAAAAAAAGAAATGGAAAAGAAACAGAGTAACAGATGAGGAAAAAAAACAGAAAAAAAAACACCTCACAGCTACGCCCGCACCACCACAACACCAAACACCACCACTTCCATCATCACCACCACCACCACCACCACCACCACCACTACCGCCACTACAACCACCACTACCACCACCACCATCACCACTACCACCACCACCACCACCATCACCAAACCATCACAACTACCACCGCCATCATTACAGGAAACAGAAACAACACCAATCATCACAATCGATTAATCATTCATTCATTCATTCATTCATTCATTCATTCATTCATTCATTCAACCAATCACCACTACCAATACCGTCATCCTCCGATACGTTCTCTAATTTTGTTCCCTATCCCTTCCCTATCCCTTTGATGATACGATGATGCGATATTATTATTACGGCGACGATGACAAGATGATGATGATAATATGATTAGCCATTCACACACGATGACACACACGCATACATATACACGTGTACACACACACTCTCATTATACTACGACGACGACGACGACGACGACGAGAACTTTATAGAGACCGCCCGAGAGATCGAGTTAGATCTGTACACACATACACACACTTATATGATGTTGCAATTGTAACACATGCGTTCGCGCCCGGGGGAGCTGCGTCCCGCGCGCGTGGACGTGCGTGCGCGCCTCGAAATTCTGTCCGCTGCTTCCGAAGTACTCGAGGAGATTGTCCTTGCGAGAAAGAAAGAATGAGTGAGAAAGATGAAAGTATATGGAGGAAAAAGTGCATTGAGAGAAAGAAAGAGAGAGAGAGAGAGAGAGAGAGAGAGAAAGAGAGAGAGAGAAAGAGAAAGAGAGAGATAGAGGGAATTCTGGGATAATGACTGAAAGAGCGTGTGAGCGAGCGAAAGAGAGAGAAAGAAAAAGGATGATGTTGAGAGTTGAAGAACACGCGCATGTGCGTGTATATCTTGCTCTTGTGTGCATTTAATAATGTGTGCGTACGTGTGTGTGTGTGCATAAATGCATTCTTATGTTTTACGTTTGTACGAGTTTCTTTCTCTCTCTCTCTCTCTCTCTCTCTCTCTCTCTCTCTCTCTCTCTCTCTCTCTCTCTCTCTCTCTCTCTCTCTCTCTCTCTCTCTCTCTCTTCCTCCCAAATAGAGAATGCGTTTTGATACATGGATCACATGAAATCAAGATGAAGCCAAATATAGTTGGACACTAAACGACAACTAAATTGTGAAGTCGCAGTCCCGGAAGTTTTTTCTTCTCGCGCTCAGGACCGCCGGCCGGGCACTCGCGGCCCGGGGAGCTTACTCTTCCGCGCTTCGTCGACTCCGAGTCGACCTGACTTCTTCAGCTAGAGAGCGTAGTCCGTGAGAATGGCATCGCAATCTTTTGGAGCCCAGAAAATTGTCTTCAGACGATCGCTCGACGATGTATCAATCATGCATCGCTCGCCGTTTGACAAGAACAACGTGTAGAAGTCTGTTACTTCTCCAGGATTTAATACTCTACTCATCTGTACAAGAGCAACGTTCATTTTGAATGAACCGAAAGCAAAAAGAAAGAGAGAGAGAGAGAGAGAGAGAGAGAGAGAGAGAGAGAGAGAGAGAGAGAGAGAGAGAGAGAGATGAAGGAATTATCGAGCTCACGACAATTCCGTGACTTCTACCTGCGCATGTCATCAGTTTTTCTCAAGGAAGCACGGACTCGGGATAGCTCTCGACTAAACTTTCAACATTGTTCGACATTGATTGATGCATCGTGTCAGTCGTGCACTCTCTTTCTTTCTCTCCTCTTCCCTTCCGCTCTCCCTCTCTCTCCTATACGCGTTCTCTCTTACTTTTCCTTTCATTTTCTTTCTTTGAACGTTTAGTTTCATCGAAGTAAATACTCTGGTTGATGAAAAGAAGCTCGTAGACGGAAAGATCATTCGTAATATTTCGTGATTTTTAGAATCTGACTTGCCTATTGGGAGAAATCTCACAAGATGGATACGTTCTGAAACTCACACAATTTCTGTCTACAACCGTGTACGGCTCGACATAATAGCCTTCTTGAACAGTCATAATAGCTTTGAATTTGTCTAGTCAGTGAATAAAAATGTCCATTTTTATCCACTGACTACAGTGCTTTACAAGGTACGTTATGTATTTCTTATAAAAATTTGTAAAACGCTGTAATTTCATTGGCATACATGTTGTTGTAGGGCGAGGTACGAGTACGATGCGTGCTAGGGAGAGGGAGAGGGAGAGAGAGAGAGAGAGAGAGAGAGAGAGAGAGAGAGAGAGAGAGAGAGAGAGAGAGAGAGAGAGAGAATGAGAGAATGAAAGAGGGAGAGCGAGGACGAGGGAAGCGAGCAGCAGAGACTGACGCTGTAACGTAGAAGTGCAACTCTTCGACGAGTTTTCCGCGGGGTTACGGAATTTTCAGAAGAGACCGGCCGTAATTTTGATTAGTTTCTATTTTATTAACGCGGGAAACGCGTTCCACATTTTTTTTCACGCTAGACAAATATATAGAGCATGTGTGTGCGTGTGTGTATGTGTATGTGTGTGCGCGCGTACAGCATACCCGCGACAAGTTCTTCCCTTCTCGTACTCGTAGCATCATAAGAAAAGATAGAACGAAAGGAAGGAAGGAAGGAAGGAAGGAAGGAAGATAGAGAGAAGAAAAAATGGAAAAAAGAAAATAGAAAGCAAAGGGCGGGGGTTCTTCGCGAAGACGAAATACGAAAGCGGTGTGAACCGTGGTTATTACTATTTACTGTAAACGAGGTATTCTTTGTGTTTATAAGCCTATTCGTCGCGTTGTAGGCTGAATCATTAAGTTAGTTCAAGACACGACACTTCCATTTTTCTATAATTCGTCGAGTACTCATCGGCGGCATACTAATCTTTTTAATCGCTCGATTGTTTCCGTAGGACTCGAGGATTTAATGTCGCGATTTGCGATTGTCCCGATTTTTTTTTTTTTCATTCGATTGTATTAGTTTCTTCTTCTTCTACTTCACCCTTCTCTCTCCTCCTTATACGCGTTACTTTTTTTTTATTTTTTATTTGATCTTATATCTTTCTATTCTCTCGATTGTAATATCGACGACGCATCGTTTACGACATTTCTCTTTCCATCCATTATTATGTTTATTTCCAAATAACTGTATTATATCAAATGTTTTACTACATCAATATATTTGCTTAATGAACATACGAGAATAGCACGGAATTTTTCTTTCCCTTGCACACACACAGATCCCATTTTGCTCTGCGCCGAATCCGAGGGAGGAAAGGGAAACTTCTAAAAACATTTCTCCTCTCGGATTCTTGTCGTGCAGCGAGTCACGCATTAATTCGTCACACTGTATTTGGATTCGCGTGTGTTGGTCAGATCGACAGAAAAAGAAAAACAAGGCGTTCGATTGGATTTTTGCAATTGACTGAGGGACTTTGATTCACACATTGTTTTGCCAAACGGGAATGCGAACGAACGAGCGAGCGGGCGAGCAAACGAGCGTACGAATGAACGAACGAACGAATTGGCGACTTTGCTTTCGAGACGGTGGTGGAATCGTTTTATTTTCGACCAGCGGAGTTTGTAACACAGCTTGTATGTTGAAATACTACAAACGGGAGAGTCGTAGCTTTGTTCGCGAATTATCAATATTTATATATATATATATATTGCATTCTCCGAGTCGCGAAAATGCTGCATGAACGGCGACGAAGAGGCGGTTGGAGCGTCGACGACTTTTTTACATACATAATACATGCACAACTCACGATAATACTATAATAATAAAAGAATCCGATGCGCGAGGAATTTTAATGCTATGGAAAAAAAAGAGAGATCGCTTTTCAGCTTTTCCGTTTTCTCTCTCCGTCGGAGAAAGAGCAGCTCTTGTCGTGTTGCGTATATTACTCATTATAATAGTTGTAGACTCTATTACGTAAAAAACTAAATTTTTTCGTGTATATGTTGTGTGTGTGTGTGTGTGTGTGTGTGTGTGTGTGTGTGTGTGTGTGTATGATGTATGTGTACATTCTGGGTATCTGAGACCACCCGTACAACCTTTTTCTTTCAAAAACTAAGCACTTTGGACAAAAACTGAGGATTTAAGAAAAGTAATGTGAATTAGTGAATATCTCGAAAATGGCACCATCTGTAACAAACCGATATAGTTCTTTTATATTCCCCTTGAAATCATACAATTTTTGTCTAAAATGTTTTTCTCCAAAATGCTTAGTTTTTGGAAAAAAAGGGGTGTACGGGTGGTCTCAAACACCCAGTATATGCATACAGGTCGTCGCGTGACGTAGTCGCAATATTTAGAGTTCTTACTCGAGAATTCACTTTGCGATTACATACAAGTGCGATTGATATATATAGGCGTTTATCGTATAATATACTACGGGACTCGGTGAACCTGTTTATTATTATATTATTTTATATTATTTTATGAAGCGCGTTTTTTATGATATCGTAATGAAAGTCGGAATTAATTTTTGAAATTTCTTTGAGTAAAATGAGACTGAGCTTGAATTTTATTGTGTTTGATTTGTTTTAATATCGATTGATTGATTTAATTTGATACTAATTGATCGGCCGATTCATTTCATTGTAGTGATTAGTTGGTTGGAAATTCAGGTGGGCATATCCATTTACATTAAAGTAGAAAATTCGGAAACGGCTAATTTCGCGAAATGTAACACCGAGATTCAAAACACCAAGACATTATCTTGAAAAACAATATTTCCGAAGTAAACACTCGTTTCCCGAGCAGGAACTTACCCCGATCAGTACACACAAATCTATATATATATATATATATTTGTTTGAGTACTACTTGTTTGAGTACACTCTTGCTGTACTCAAATGAGTACATGAATAGCAACGCACCCGGCTGTTGAACGAGACAACTCCAATATTTCGGTAAAATTATATTTCGAGAGACTGACTCAATATTCGAATTTCAGAGTTATGACATTTCAGGAAATTGCCATTCCCTTCTAGTTTCGGTCCGCCTTTTGTTAGGACAAAGCGAGAATGAATATTTCTCACTTCGAGTAGGTTCTTTGCCCGTACGAGTGAATGTTTCAATTAGACGTTCGCTTTGTTGCTGTAACGGAGTCGCTCTTCGTTATCGAGCAACAATATCCGCTCAATGCTTTAGAATGGGGAATTCATTCCACAAGCACAGAAACTCGCTCGAATTCGAGTGCTTCGGTTGCCGTTTCTCCTTTTTCTTTTACTCCAAGAAGTTCGGGAAATACGCTTCCGACGTTCTTCACGTCAATTGACTGCATTTGACATCAACGTTCCGCGGGTGGAGGTGTTCGAAAGGCCACGTTCCATTGCATTGTTTCTATCGCGAGGAAAGGTCGCAAATCTTGTTCAACGTTACGTAATTTAATTTTTCGTCTATTATCATTTAAACGATTCTCGCCTTGACGTCTCGACGCGATGCAGCATCTTCGCCACGACCAGGATGATCGCGTAAAGTATGTCGTAATTAGCGAGTACTGTCTTTGTAATTGGCATAATATTCCGTTAATAGATTTTCTCGGGAACAAAGGAAAGTTATAGAACGTTGTTGTGTTT